GATCCACTCATACTTTTTGAGGAGCTCCAGTTACCTAAGTGTTACTTATTAGATAGTGGTCATAGGATGGTCTCTAAAATTTTTAAATAAAATACACCATGGAGGAGAGAGCATGTGAAAACAATTAGTTGCCAAAAGAAAACAAAGAATGTTGGTAAGAACAGAAAGAATAGTAACAACGAGCTTTACTGAATGTTTATAATTGCCAGGCACTTTATGCCTATTGTCTCATCCTGTAGCAGCTCAGTGCAGTAGATTTTTATCAGTTAAGAATAAATTTGGCCACTCCACCATTTTTTCGCCCAGTATTTCCATCTTCAAAAATCACCTCATGGTCCAGTGTAGCTGCTGGAGCTCCAGCCATCACATCCAAGCAGCAGAAAGAAATTGCAAGGGAATAGCCACAAAGGTTTACCTGGAAGCCCCACCCAATGGTGTAGTTTCATCCCACTGGCCACCCCACCTGCAAGGGAGATTGGGAAGAGTGGTTTTTAAACTAAGCCTACCACAAAAAGTTCTCTGTCTAAAGAACAAAGAGAGAAGAGATACTGAGTGGGCAACCAGCCATCTCTTTTGCAGTTTTATTTGTCCACTTTTCTGGAGAGGGAAATGGGATCCTAGGAGGAGTCACTTGGCCGTAGTCACAAACCAGAGAATGACAGAGCTGGTACTGGAACCAAGTCTTTCTGACTCTGGGGCCTGGGCCCTAAACCATGCATCATTTTCCCTTAAGGAAACATGAACTCTCCATTTTAGATACGGAGGAAGTGGGGCAGAGATTTAAAAGCCTTTGCCACAATTCACTCTGAACATTGTGGCCTCAGCTGTTAACAAAATAGCACCCATCATGCCAAAGTCAGAGACTGGCTGTGTGGCTTTGAACCACTGCCTCAGCCTCTCTAGGCCCTGGGGTATGGCCTGGCTCCCTTGCATGACTGCCCCTCTCCTCTGCCAGGGAGAAGGCCCAGGAACTGTCAGACTGGATCCACCAGCTGGAGTCCGAGAAGTTTGACCTGATGGCCAAGTTGAAGCAGCAGAAATATGAGGTGAGACCCATCTCTGCTGGGCGCCCAGGCTAGACCCGGGATGGAGCAGGGCAGGGGCGGGAGGGGGCCGGCCTGTCCCTCAGCACCTTCTCCTGCCTCCGCAGATCAATGTGCTGTACAACCGCATCAGCCACGCGCAGAAGTTGTAAGTGCAAACAGGGCCCTGGCCCCACCCCCCTCCCTCTGACTCTCAGGGCCTCTCTTTCCTTCCCTCTAACTTCCCCCCACTTTGTGAGTTTCAGTCTCTCACCCTTTCTTGGAGGCCCTGCCTTTGTCCCTCTTTCTTAGGAAAAGTTCTCTCCATGCTCCAACTCTCTTGGGGTCTCAATCCTTGTTTTTTTTCTTTTCCTTTTTTGGGAGGGGGAGGTAACTAGGTTTATTTGTGTATTTATTTATTGATGCAGGTATTGGGGATTGAACCCAGGACCCCATGCATGCTAAGCACAAGCTCTACCCTACCCCCCATCCCTGTTTCTATGTCCCTCTAAATCACTGGTTCTTGGGGAGAGGGTGGTCTTGCCCCGCCCCCGCCCCAGGGGACACGGGGCAATGTCTGGAACGCATTTGGGGAGGGGGATGCTACTGGCACCTGGTGGGTGGAGCCCAGGGACACTGCTCAACACCTTACAAGGCACAGGACGGCCCCCACCGCAGAATGATGTGGCCCCAATGTCACCAGCGCTGAGGCTGAGAAGCCCAGCTGTCATCCTTTCTTCCTGTTCTTGCTGGGTCTCCCGGCTGCTCCCCATCCCTCCCTACCCCCCGTCTGATCTCTGTTCACCTTCTCTCATTTTCCATCCTCCTGTCTCTTTCACCCCAGCCTCCCGGTCCCCTCTGACGTGGTGCTCCCTCAGTCACCCATCCCTTCCTTCCTCAGCCCCTGTATCCATAAACATTTATCAGCACCCAAATGAACATCCTGAGCTCATGCACTGATGTCAACTTCCCCTGTGACGGTTAATCGCTCCACCCCAGTCAGTGAACCCAACGGGAAGGCACTTGCTGGCCTCTTCCCCTGGGGGGGACGGCGGGTATTTGGAGGGGATCGACTTCCTGAATTGAGGGCAGGGGCCCCTCTTAAGGGTCAGTCCTGTCTGATAACCCTCCTTCTCCTACAGCCGGAAGGGGGCCGGGAAGGGCCGCGTTGGAGGTCGCTGGAAGTGAGGCGGGGATGCTGGCCCACCCCGAGGCACCTGGGCACCCTTGGAGTGTGTGCCCCATCTGTGGCTTGAAATAAATGCTACACTTTTAGACACCTGCTGAATTCTTTGATTGTTATTATTAACACGTGATTACCACTCGGGTAAATGCCGGGGCCAGGGACTCGTGATCTGATCGCCTGGCAAATCCTCAACAGCCGCGGTGATGATGTGAAAAGTTGGACCCTCACACACTGTGGTGGGAATGGAAAATGGTGCAGCCACTTTGGGAAACAGTCCCGTGGTTCCTTGAAAAGTTAAACATAGAGGGGGTGGGGGGATAGCTCAGTGGTAGAGCGCGTGCTTAGTATGCAGGAGGTCCTGGGCTCAATTCCCAGTACCTCCGTTAAAAAACAAAACAAAAACACATGTTACATGTAGAGTTACCAGAGAACTCAGCAGTGCTGTTCCAAGAGAACAGAAAACCTATATCCACACAAAAACGTATGATTGTTGGCAGCAGAATTATTCACCATAGCCAAGAGGTGGAAACAACCGAAAGGTCCGTTAACCAATGCATGGATCCCAGGGACTATTATTGAGCCATGAAAAGAAGTGAGGTGTTGATACTGGCTACAACGCAGACAAATCTCAAAATCATCACGTGTGAAAGAAGCCAGACCACAGAAGACCACATCTTGTGGGATTCCATCGATACGAAATTCCCAGAAGGCAAATCCACCAAGGCAGGAAGTGAGTAGTGGTCTCCAGGAACTGGAGGAAGGGAGGAACAGGGGTGTGGGTGGTGGTGATGGCGGTGATGGCGGCTTAAGAAATGGTGTTTCTTTGTGAGGGGTGGTGAAGATGCTCTGGAATTCGGTAGTAGTCATGGCTGCACAGCCTTGTGACTAGATTTAAAAAAAAACAAACCCACTGAATTGCACCCTTTGAAATGCTAGCTTTTTCAGGATGGGAATTACATCTGAATTTACAAACGTAAAACCCAGCCAAATAAAAACATTTGCAACGTTGTCTCTGGGAGGGTCGCTTTGTGACAAATTATTGCTCACCATTTGCTGGTGTGCTTCTGTGACTTTCAAAACAGAACTTTTAGTAATGAGCATGAAGGTCTGGCTCCTGGGCCTCAAATCCACCAATTACTGCTGTTTAGACAAAATACTTGAGTCAGAGTTGAGATGGGGCTGTTTTGTGAAGTCCGGGCATGGGTTCCTTCATTTGCGGCTACCATCCCCACGATGTTGCTGCCTTTGTCAGAGGGTAACTGCTGGGAACTGAAGGCTTGGATGTCTCCCCTGTCTCCTCCCCAAAAGCCATATGTTGAAGCTCCAGTGGATTGGTGTTTGGAGGTGGGGCCTTGGGGAGGTCATCAGGTTTAGTTGAGGGCTTGAGGGTGGGCCCCCCATGATGGAATTAGTGTCCTTATACGTAGATGAAGAGACCAGAGACCTCTCTCCATCATGTGAGGACACACCAGTAGGTGGCCATCTACAAGTCAGGAGGAAGGTTCTCACCAGAAAACCCTGAGAAGTAAATGGCCCTTGTTTAAGCCACGTGGTCTGTGGTATTTTTCTCGGAAGAGCCCGAGTCAATTAAGACAATGAGACTGACCTGTCAGCCTTCTTTACAGACAGGAGGAGCGGGTAAAATGGGAGGCAGAGACAGTCTCCCACTCACTCAATCCCATTGGTGGAAGTTAATTATATAACTATCTCCAGCTTCAAGGAGGCTGGGAATATAGCCCTTGTTCTACGTGGCCCATTAGACCCAGCTTGCGAAATAACAATTATCACAGTCATGCACAGGAACCCTAACGACAGATGGATGATTTAAGCTCCTAGGAGAAGGAGGTGGGTGTGCATGTTAAGTGGGAAGTGTGGGACTTAGGGACTACACATCCCAAGATCCACTAGGACTGCTCTCCCCTCTGTATCCATCGCGGCAGTCCCCAAGCCTCATGGGACTTGTAGTTTGTTTCTTTGCACAGGCCCAAGGACTTAGAGTGGGTAGGCTGCTCCAACATCCCTTGGGGGAAAAAAGTCTGTTGCCTCTGTCTGGATTTCAGCACCTTTCTGTGCGATTTTGATGGGCCTTTGTTCGGCTCGCAAAGGGCCTGGCTCTTTCCCAATGAAGATTTAGGCTCCGAGTACCTAAGATGAGGATTATTTCGGATTGCAGAGTGCTGTGTGTGAGGCCATTCGCCCTCTATCTAGTCGCACTCCTCGCTCCAGACTACAAATCCCAGCATGTTTTGTGAGGGTGTAGTGCTCGGACTACATTTCCCAGCGTGCTCCACGTCCCAGGGTGCTAGCTGTAGAAGGAGGGGGCAGTGAAGGTTCTGAGAGCCTTGTCATTGAGGACCTCGCCTCTTGGGTTCTTTTCAGGATGTGATCCAGGGGTTGCCATTAGGGACTCTGGATTTCTCTTGCCTTTGAGCCTGATGTCTTGGGGTGCTTTCAGGTTCTACCTGGGACCAACTATACCTTCAGGGACATGGCCTTACGGACTACATTTCCCAGCGTGCCCAGCGATCGATGGCCATGATCTTTGTAAAGCAAGCTTTACTTCCCAGCATGCCCTGGGCGGTCACGGGGGGAGGCTTGGAAGAGAATTGTCTTCATGATCTAAGGGTTGTGGACTCAATTTCCCATGGTGTCCTGGTGTTTCCCACGACCTAGGGAATCCATTCATTCATTCATTCAAACAAAACTATTTTCGATCGCGTTCTGTTAGGCTCAGTTTCGGGTACTGGGAACTGGGAGTGCACAAAAGACAAAAATCCCTGTCCTGGGATTTATTTCTAGTTGAAGGGAGCAGAAAAACCCAAATTAAATAAGTTGCATAGTATGAGGAAAGTGGATAAGACATTTGGTAAAATTAGTTCGATATCTTTTAGGACTCCCGGGCTGTCAAGCCATTTCCTACCAGGTCTGGGGACCAGCAATTCGTCACCTTGATCAGGTGAACTACATTTCCCAGTATGCCCTGGGGCACGCCTCCTGCCGTTAGACTCCGTCTCTCGGCGTTCCCGGGAGCATCCTCCCAGTCAGATTTCCTTTGACACCGCACACCTGCGAATTTCCCAGTGTGCCTCGGGGCAGATCGAGGCCGGAATGTTGCCAGGAGCAATTTCCGCTCTTGGACTCCATTTCCCAGCGCCCCCCGCGGCCTTCCCTT